GGGGGGGGGGGGGGGGGAGGAGAGAGAGAGCAGTGGAAAAAGAACAAGCGTAAAATTTAAAAATTGTTTTATTAATCTAGACTCGCAAATTTAATGTTTCTTTTCCTATATTTGTATATCTTTCCTTGAGATATTTACGTTATATAATTTCTGATATGATAATTCTTTACATACAATGCACGAAATAAAATATTTAATTTGCAGAAATATATGACTCGAAAGAGAGACATTTAATATAGGATATTATTTTATGATAATAAAATCGTATATTTTTCAACAAATTGAGATTAAATAATTTATATAACATAAAGTTTAATAATGTTGTATACAGAATATAATATATACACGTATAACATATTTTTTCATTTTAAAAAAGTTTTAGCACATATAAAAACATAGAAAACTTTGAATGCTCAAATTAATTTTATTTTCTAAGATTTTGCAAAATTTTTTAATTTTCTTATACATTTACATAATTGTTTAAATTCTATCAATTAATTAAATTGCGGTAAATCCAGAAAAAAGTAAATTAAAAATTTTTGGTTTATATTTTTATTTTTCCCTTATATTTTTAATTTATTCGTAATGAAAGAAAAAAGGGAAAAAAGAAAAACAGAAGAAGGGGACGGGAGTAAAGAGAAAAAAAAAAAAACTATCTATTTAAAAAATAAATAGTACAAACGCGCATAAGAATCTCATAGTGATATCAAACAAATATAAAATAATAATTATTGTATGTCTAATGCAAAGATATGCTGCATTATCGACACACACACACACGCGCGCGCACGCACGCACACAAACACATACATACATACACACAGACGTAATTGCATCACCATATATGGTGCATCTGAATTATTATAGATTAAAAAGTTTGTTTTATTTAATAAAAAATAAATTAAATTGTACATATAATATGTCATGAAAATGTAATATACTATGTCAGTAAAAAACATGTATGTATGTATGTGCATGTGTATATATATATGTCAAACAGCTGTATATTGTGATATATCACTGTTAAATTTATACACGCGCGCACACATGACACACTCATATACAGGATGTTTCAAAACCACCGTATGTTCTCTTAATAGTGGATTTTTTGGTTAAATTAAAATTGATTTTTTTAACGGGAATGTCGACATCAATTATTTTCGAGTTACAGAACGTTTGAAAAAGAAAGACTTTTTGCAAATTAAACTTTGGGAAAACAAAAAAAAATATTAAAACTATACTCTCTTTAGATTATTTCAGATGAAGTTTACTTAATGTGTTGTGTTACAAGTTATAAAAAGATAGGATAGAAAAATTGGATTTTTGTATTAAAAGACCCTTCCTCGATATAAACGCAATATAAACAATTACTATTTGACAGATTACCTTATAAATGATATTTGAAGGATTAGTACATTGCCACACATTTTCACACATGTTGAATACGCAGATATGATATCGAGAATAAAACACATATTCATACGAACTATTTATCTCATAATATGTGTAAATATATGTGTGACCAATACTATCATCTTCTAAAATATAGACTTTCTTCTGTATGTGAATCACCGTGTATATGTACGTATGTATATTACGCAAATGTAAATTATAACATAAATAATATGCAAACATATTTAAAGTTTTAACAAAACAAGTATACATACCTCATACGCACCTATGTAACAAAATACGCAAAATTTGCGTATTTAAGCATATTTATTGGATATACGATATACATTAAAGCAGAATTTATACATGAATTTATTTAAAAAAATTTAAATTTCGAAAAATATTGATAAAAATTTAGTTGACTCGTAAGGATCTAAAAATCTAAATAATGCTGAAGAAATGACAAAAGATATAAACGAATAATATTCCCCCCTGTTTTTAAAGTTCTAATATTTGCAAATTTTGTTTATCACACATATCACAAAAGATCATATAACAATATATACTATAAAATAATATTCAATATGTCACAGAAATCTATTTTTGTGACAAACGCACACGTATATTTAAAATCCTATAAATCGGTTTGTACTTGAGGTAAAACATCTTTAATAATAATCGTTTTTTTTTCTTGCGCTAATTATAATTTGAAAATAATTGCATTATTCGCAAGGGTTTAGAGAGATTTTGCAATAAAATTACAAAATTTATTAGCTGTATTACATTAACAAATCCCGACTTGACATTAGTAACATCAATCCTGGACATGTGTGAACGAAGAAAATAATTATAGACAAGTATGAATTAGTATTATAAGATGACAGAGAATTATATCGATTATAATGAATAAGTAAAACAAATAAAATTCCTATCTATGTAAAACGAATAAAACTGTAAATTTGAGATTTCACTGAAATATTAATAAATTATTAAATAAGAAAAGTAACCCAGGATTAATATCAAACCTTTATAAATAGTTTACGAATAAGGAAGCGAGCTCACAAACAGGCAAGCGATAACATACAAAATACCTAAAAACATGTTTAATCTGGCTGTTCGTTTAGGCACGTTTTGAATTTTATGCGGATTTCGGAATTCTTTTTCTATTTTAAAGGCGGTCGGCAGAGTGATTATTGGCAGTAAAAACAATATCGAATATCTTAATGCCAGCACAATGAGAATAATATATGGTGTAAACAGTAGAAAAGCATACAAAACATGAGACGCGGTATGACCTATCAAAATCGCTAGTGTCACGATTCCTGCCTTCCTGTCGCTGTCCATATCCCTTGTGTTATTGCTATGTAAAATAGCCTCAGTGTTTAACGCGAGCGGTATAGCGTAATAAATCGTTCCTAATTCAACATAACCGGTTTGCGCCATGAACGCGAATAAAACCGAGATTGGACCAAATATGACTAAAATTAGTACATCGCCCAAAGCAATGTATTTAAATCCTATACCTCCCGTATAGAGAAAAGAAGAGGATAAACCTCCAAAGTATACGAGAGCTAGATGTTCCATCTTGGCAGGGGAGATAGCCGCTAGTAAGACAAATCCCAAGCAGCCTGCCGTATATAAAAAAGCTCCCAATGAGACTAATTCATCTTTAGACAATAAATGATCTACTAATATTCTATCGTCACTTTTCCGGCTATCGACACCCTTCACATAGTCAAAATAAGTGTTCACTACATTACCAGCACCATGTACACAAACTACTGTGAGTATGATTACGATCAGCGATATCCAACTAAAACTCGCTAGACCCGTCAGTCGATATGCAAGCGCGGATCCGAGAAGCGTTGGCATTAGCGATGCGCTCAGTGACCATGGTCGAAGTGCCAGAAAATACGAAGATAACTTCATGAGCGGAGAATCCAAAGCTGACGATGTCGAGTAATGTACATTATTCGCCATAGAGCCATCATCGATTCGCCTAGTTGGGTTCCAAACGCCATTGGACATCATGTTTCGTGCGCAACACTAGAAATAATATCATTTTATATAAACTGTACGTGATATTAGGAACGATAACAATCCTTTAATCCCTGAAGTTCTATTAAATAGATCATGTTTTTTTTACATATCGATACACGAGAAGGGATCGTTTTACCATCAATGCGTTTTCATCAATCTTTGTAAATAAATTTTCAAAATTTTACATTTCATATAAAAATGAAAAGCAATTGCCAATCGATAAATCGCTCAACACAAAATACTCAGAAAGGAGATTTATCCGATATATCGTATTTAACGGTATACCAATATCACATATATACATATATGTACGTACGTACGTTTCCACGTGACATTTGCATAATTAAATATCCCAAAAAAGATAATAACGTCGAAATGAGGTAGAAACGTGACGGAATAAATACGAAAGTTTAAGTACAAAATAACAACGCGAGTTTTTCGATACAAGTTATACTACGTACCGTTTCTATACGCGCTTAAACTCACCTAATAATTTTTTCGAGATAGACACAGACGAAGATAGGTTAAGACGCTCTCCGTGGCAATTAAAACGTTTCACTTGTCGATATTGGTTCATCGTAGAATCATTCGTCGTACGAGCAACACATCAGCGTTTGTTTAATCAGCATCATGAAGTAGGTACAATATTTCGAATTATTCTTTTCTCTTCACTCTCCCCGACTCGGATGGACGTTTGTTTCCCGTTCGAGCACGTTAAGTCTGTTCGGTGTTGGATTCATTCCATGTCCCGTCGCCTGGGGCTCCATGGGTGCTGTTAAGCCCGAATCACACTAGCGGCTCGCGGCTGCGATTGCGATTGCGTTCGTGATTGTGATTTGCTACGCATGATTGGAGCAATCATACTTGCAATTGGTGCTTTCTGATTGGCTGAGGCAATCGCAATCGCAGCCGAGAGCCGCTAGTGTGATTCGGGCTTTAAGCAGCGTCTACAATAAAGCCTGCGGCACACGGTACGATTTTTCGTACTGATTTTGTTAATTGATTCGTTGCGTGCTGTTTAGCGAAGTATTCTACATGTTCCAAACATAAGAGTGTTACTAGTTTTGGCTTCACACGTGCAGATTATCTTACGTGTTGGGTTAATATTTTAATTATAAGATTTCTAGAGATTTCAACAAAATTCTTCAAGACTCTAAAAATCCTCTAGATAATAGCCAATGATTGCTTATCTAGTCAAGATACGATTCAAGATATTTATTATGGAAGAATTAATAAAATTTTTTAAATTTTATTAGGTTAGGAAATCTGTCATTTTTAATTAATTATATACATATTCAATTCCCTTGTAGCGCTACAGTAGCTCTACTATAGCGGTGTCTTACCAAAACACACTCATTGATTGCTTATCTAGTCAAGATACGATTCAAGATATTTATTATGGAAGAATTAATAAAATTTTTTAAAAATTTTATTAGGTTAGAAAATCTGTCATTTTTAATTGATTATATACATATTCAATTAATATCACCATAATTATAAATAAAATACATAATTACTTATATATGTATATATGCTGCGCTGCTCATGAAATAGGTTTTCTGCAGTGTTTTAAATCGTCTCAAATTCAATATTAATTGAGATATAACCGAATGAGTAATTATTTTTATAATTATAGTTCCTACAAACTTACTTCTGGTGATTCCATATTTTAGAATATATGTACATATATAACAAAAACACAGCTTTTACTGCTTTGCTGTTCAACAAGATGAAGGTATCAGACTACGCATTGAAGATTAAGATTCAAGATTTAAGATTGAAATTTGACGGCTTGAAGGCTTGAATTCATAGTAAAATATAGTGATTAATTGAACCGGGTTGAGTTAACCGGTTTGTCCGAAAACGCTATAACTAATCAGAACAAAAAGACCTAAAATTTCTTTATCCTGATTGGTCAAATTTCAATCTTGAATTTTGAATCTCAATCTTTAATGCGTAGTCTGATACGGGCATAACGCAGAACGAGAGCAAAGCCAATTACAAACGTTCTGCAGTTTTTGTTAGAGAGAATTCACACCTTGGCAGAAAAGCAGAAAACAGAAAAGCAGAGCTCAATCAGAATTCGCGCTAGAAAAGAAGAATGTACTGCTTACTATCAGCGCGAGTTCTGATTGGCTTCTGCTTTTCTAGCACAAGTACTGATTGGCTTCTGCTTTTCTGCCACGGTGTGAATTCTTCCTTACGCTCGTGATTGGTTTCGCTCATGAAAGAAGAGTAAAGCCCGTATCAGACTACGCATTGAAGATTGAAATTGAAGATTTAAGATTGAAATTTAACCAATCAGGACAAAGAAATTTTAGTCCCTTTTGTTCTGATTAGTCAAATTCCAATCTTTAATCTTCATTTTTTTTTTTTTTTTTTTTTTTTTTTGTTCTGATTGGTCAAATTCCAATCTTTACTTTCAATCTTCAATTTTCAATGCGTAGTCTAATACGGGCATAAGGAGAGTTATCTACCTAGATTGAAAATGGTCACGAAAAATGTTCCGTATGTGGCCAGGTTTGCCAAATAGAATAACTTGGACCAATTCGTCGCCATCTTGAATATTCGTACATATAAAGTGTTATGTTTGTCGCGTTTGGTTAGGCAAGGCGAGGCAATGTCGCGTTTGGTTTGGTTAGGCAAGGCGAGGCAATGTCGCGTTTGGTTAGGCAAGGCAAGGCAATGTCGCGTTTGGTTTGGTTAGGCAAGGCGAGGCAATGTCGCGTTTGGTTAGGCAAGGCGAGGCAATGTCGCGTTTGGTTTGGTTAGGCAAGGCGAGGCAATGTCGCGTTTGGTTAGGTTAGGTTAGGCAATGTCGCGTTTGGTTAGGCAAGGCGAGGCAATGTCGCGTTTGGTTAGGCAAGGCGAGGCAATGTCGCGTTTGGTTAGGTTAGGTTAGGTTAGGTTACGGGGTTAGGTTACGGGGTTCCAGCTTTTTTGCATTTTTTTTATTACGGAATTCGAAAATTGGTCACGCGAAACGGATTCTGGCGTTTGTTTCGCGTCGATATCTATCTCCGTTCCTTAGTTATAGGGGTGCAAAGCGCCCCTTCCTATTTTTGGTCCGTAACTCGAAAACCGTTGACGCGGCGAGATTGGCACCCGAGGGACGTCGATCGGTCTCGCGAAGGGCTACAATTTCGGTCCCGTACTCCACCCTCCTAGGATCCACCCTTTGGGCCCTGTATACTTGGAGTCGGGTGTATAAATTTATAAGTCTGAAGGGGTGATACGGGACGCGAAATATCGACTAAAATTTGACTACTCTAATCGATATAGAATTCGAGAAATATGTCGATTTACGCACACCCTATGACGCGGGACGTGGGGGGCGTTTGGGGAGGGGGGTTCG